ATTTTTGTATATATATGCAGAGAGGTCGCTTACTTGATACATACATTTTAAGGGAGGATCAATCACACTGTACATGCTCCTCCATAATAATCATCATCACCCCTTCCAACATAAAGTATAAAGTGTATATCACCGGTGCTCCACTTTGCCAGACATCTATTTAGTTTTTTGTTCTGTTTTGACAGAATAATGAACTCTTCATAGCCAAAGAATATGTAATGTCAGTAAAAGTTTGATATTAAACAGCTAAATTAAATTCATTGTCAGGGTATATGATAATTATACATCCCGCCATTGGCATTTTCCATTCTGAATATTGAAAAACACTCACGTGTGTTGTGTGTGGGAAGACTTTTTTAAAGTATAAAGAATGTTATCGTGCAATGTGTCACATCATCATATTGTGTATGGTTCCTAACCAAGTTGTTAAATGAGAGTGACAACTTTTCTTATGTTTTCAGTAAAAACCATAACTTCCACTGGTTAATGATGGAAGTTGACAGGGTTCCACAGAATCCTTTCTCTGTTACTGAAATAAATGAAATCTTTTAAAGGGGTTTGCTGGAAACAGGACATCTCAAGAAACATTTTTATTGACACCTTGAAAATAAGTGATCTCAAGATAGAACCTATCATTGGAACCCTGGAAATAGGTGATCTTAATAAAGAATCCATTATTGGAACTCTGGAAATAGTTTCCAAGAGGTTTTGAGAATCATCAGAACCAAACAAAACAGTCTCATTACGTGCTGTGAAAGCCAGGAATCATTTTCTAAATCAGGTGACTCTAAAAGGCACGTGCTCTGCCATAGTCTAATCAAGACTTATGAGTGTGCTGAATGTTGGAAAACATTCACTTTATCAGCTAATCTTCAGACACACATGAATATTCGCAGTAGAATCAATGAATGTGTTGAATGTGGGAAAATAATTACACGATCAGATATTCTTAAGGTACATATGCAGATTCACAGTGGAGTAAAACATTATGAATGCCAGAAAAATATACACATTCAAGTAATCTGCAGACACACATTGGGATTCACAGTTGAGTCCAGCCTTATGAATGTGTTAAATGTGGAAACAAAATTACAAGTTCATGATCTCTTCAGGTACATATGCAGATTCATAGTGGAATCAAGGCTTATGAATGTGTTGAATGTGAGAAAACATTTACACGATCAGATACTCTTAAGGTACATATGCAGATTCACACAAGAATCAAGCCCTATGAATGTGTTGAATGTGGGGAAAACTTTACACTATCACGTAATCTTCAGAACCACATGAACATTCACAGTGGAATGAAACCTCATCAGTGCATTGTGTGTGAGAAATCATTTACACAATCAGGTCATCTGCAGGAACACATGAGGATTCACAGCGGAATCAAGCCTTGTGAATGTGTTGAATGTGGGGAAAATTCACACATTCCAATATGCTGCAGGCACACACGAGGAATCAAACTGGAACCAAGCTTGTTGAATGTGGGGGAAAATTTACACGATCAGGTCTTCTTAGGGATCACATGAAATTCACAATGGTGTCAAGCCCTATGAATGTGGGGAAAAAATTACACTATCACGTAATTTGCAGAAACACATGAGGATTCACAGTGGAACCAAACCGCATCAGTTCATAGTGTGCGAGAAAACATTTACACAATCAGTTTATCTGCAGAAACACATGAGGATTCACACAGGAATCAAGCCTTATGAATGTGTTGAATTTGAGAAAAAATTACACGATCATATGCTCTTAAGGTACATATGCAGATTCACAGTGCAGTGAAACATTATGAATGAATTGAATGTGGGGAAAAAATTAGACACTCAAGTAGTAGAATGTGTTGAATGTGGGAAGACATTTACACAATCAGGTAATATGCAGACACGCATGATGATTCACAATGGAATCAAGCCTTATGAATGTGTTGAATGTGGGAGAAAATTTGCACGTTTAGATCATATGCAGGCAGACATGAGGGTTCACAGTGGAAATGAAGCCTTATGAATGTGTTGAATGTGGTAGGAAATTTACACAATCAAGTGGTCTGCAGACACACATGAAAATTCACAGTGCAATCAAGCCTTAAGAAAGTGTTGAATGTGGGACAGAATTTACACAATTAGGTCATCTTCACATAAGGATTCACAGTGGAATCAAGCAGTGAAGACTTATCACTGAGTTCGATATGGAAAGGATACACACCTGTAGAAATACATCAGGATTTAAAGTGTAATCCCGTCTTATCAATGTGTTGAACCGGGAAAACATTTCCAGTGTCAGATACACTTATCCAGTGAACACTTCAGAGGATTCGCTGTAGGATCAACTGATTGTTTGGTTTTAGTGTTATGTATACAATACAGGGCATGCATTTCTTCCCACACTTTTATATCCCCATCCCAGCAAGAGCAGTTTTACTTCCAACTAAGCCGTAATCTACTATCATCCTTGTCCTGTCGCAAATGCGCTGGCAGATATTTTGGTAGCAGCTGGCGCAAGGTGACAATGGCTACACCATAAAGAAAATCAAGTCTTGTTAGGTGATTACCGTCTTACCACCTACCTTGTGTTGTTGTGTCAGCATAGGGTACATACATCCTCGATAATCTCCAGGGTATACGCACGATCACTCTCCACTATACCCTGGATGCATGCACGGCTTGGGGGCGATGATTTTATTACCTCCCATGGCTGGCTTTTTATCCAATTAGGTGCCTACGCTGGGAAGTTGAGCGTACCAATCACAACTCACTTTCGCTTCTTAAATTATCTAACCGTTTAACCTTGGCAACACAATTGATGCAGAGGTACTCTGAAAGAAGCAGAAGGAGTTCTTTCATATATTTTTTGAAAGTTTCAGATCTGTGAATTTGTCTTTATTATTTCCCCCAGAATCTGAGTGGATGCATCCAGGGTATAGAGAAGAGTGATCGTAACGTATACCCTGGAGATTATCGAGGATGAGGGTACATAATGCATCTGGAAACTTTAACTTTACAAATACAATAGTCTGCCAATCAATTAACTGTAGATTTACCTCAGATATGCCCCCACAGAATAGATTACAATAGCGAACATTTGTATTTAGATATTTCACCACCATGAATAAGTATTTGAATAATGATATGGTACGTCCCGTTTCCGTGCAGTTGTAACCGTGCAGAATAGCAATATCATCATTCGAAACACATTTACCGTAGTTACCCAAATAATCCAGATCCTAAGCCTCCAACAGACTTACCTGCAGATCCTAACCCTCAGGCAACCTTACCTGCAGATCATAATCCTCCAGCAGACTTACCTGCAGATCCTAACCCTCCAACAGACTTACCTGCAGATCCTAACCCTCCAACAGGCTTACCTGCAGATCCTAATCCTCCAACAGACTTACCTGCAGATCCTAACCCTCCAGCAGACTTACCTGCAGATCCTATCCCTCCAACAGACTTACCTGCAGATCCTAACCCTCCAACAGACTTACCTGCAGATCCTGATCCTCCAGCAGACTTACCTGCAGATCCTAACCCTCCAACAGACTTACCTGCAGATCCTAATTCTCAAACAGACTTACCTGCAGATCCTAATCCTCAAACAGACTTACCTGCAGATCCTAACCCTACCTGGTGACGTTATTGTGTTTCTCTATTATTATTTGTGATCGTAAGCATACTTAATGCAGCAGTTCATGGCGTGAGTGTGGATTCGGATCCTGTAGGTTCGGATCACAGATTCGAACTAGTATCTTGGTTTGTCAACACCAAACCTGAACTCGTGGGTGTGACCAAAACGTCTACGTCCAGTAGACAAATGGGTTTTCTTCCCACATCAAGTCCACACGGGACACGCCTTTTCCGTCATGTTATAATAGTACTGTTCCAAACACAGGTATTGTGTATAGTCTCCCATGATGTAGAGGCCGACGGGTGCTCAAAGTGGCGTACAATTAGAAACAAGAACATTGCAACATTCATCTGGTGGTTTCGGTATGACTTGAAACACTGTTGACGTCAGCTTAAATTCATCACAATAATGATATATAAAATATATACGTTAACTTTTTAAATCTACATTGTGCATAGTTAACACCATGGTATTGATTTGGTGATGAGTGATCTCTCAACCCTGTGTTATGGCAACGTGCAGTCCCTGATCACAGTAAAAACAGACTGGTCCCGCGGCCTCGGTTGAGGTGTCAGTCTGGTTCCCTGGGTATTCAGCCTTTGCTATAATGAGTCAGCCGCCAGGGGACAGTAGGTATTGTCATACAACCTGCGATACAATACATTACGGTACGATACTAAAATATTAGTCACGACGATATATTGCCACAGTATTGCGCACTTTTAAAAGTTGCGATACGATACAAATCCCGATATATGAGTAGCGATACGATACGTATCGCGATACTAAAACATTTAATTCGAACACCTACTGTAAAACACCTTAGGATCAAACAAAACCAATTTTAAAGTACCTCGTCCAATTCGCCAGTGTTGTTTCAATGCTCATTCGGAAACGGGATAATTAAGTTTATACACTGACTTTATGAGTGTTAATAACATGCGAGCGCTGTGTCTGACACAGTTCTTGACGCAAGAATTTCAGAGAAAACGTTTACTTATGAAGGGGAAATAAGGAAGCATTATATCTTAATCATCAAACAAAGTAAGTATTTTTTCTTGACAGATAACGCGAGTCCGCAATACTCAAAGCTAAACGTCGATGTATCATGGCCCATTTGAAGTATCGTGTCGGGATATAGTGCCAAACTTTGTATCGATTCACTGTATCGGCGGCCCACATAGATCGATGCATCGATGAGTCGTCAGGCCACTAAAAAAAAGTCTGGCTGGCCCCCGGCCTCTGTTGAGGTGTCAGCCTGGTTCCCAGGGTATTCCGCGCTGGCGCTACACTGCTTTTGCTGTAATGTGTCAGCCACCAGGGAACCATGTCGTTGAGGAAACCAGTCTTTTCTAAAAATAGCTCCAGTCGTTACGGAAAACGGAGAATGCTGCTCGTCGCTTATTTTACAGTTCACCCGGAAGCCGAGAGGTTGTATACATACAGGTGGCACTCGAACGTGAGTAACTGCAGCAGAGGTAAGACTACTGCCCCTACCTTTTTACGAGGAGGAAAAGGATATGTATATTTATGTAATATGATTTGACTTGAAGCCAGGGGATTAAAGGAGGTCACCCATTTTCTACACATGTGCAAGAGGGGAGTTCAGTAGACTAAGGCTAAGTCTCTGAATATATATAATTTTGATAGTTGTTGTTGTGTTTGGTGCTTTTGAGGTCGCCTTCGCCGGTTGGCATGTCGGCAGACCTAATTTTGATAGTAACAAACAAGCCCATTTATATTGAAAAGGAGCCCTAGGGAGACCAGCTGAGGAAATCTAGACTTGCTTTATTTAGGGCTTTAGCACTGCAGAGAGGGCTTGGCAGTAGGGAAATTAATGTGGTTCAGGGACTGTGAGACAGACTAGGAGTTCAGCAACATTGCATAAAGTGTGAGTAGCTTTTAAAGGTATCCCACTTCTGACCAAGTGCATATTAGCATATTAATAGTAAGAAAGGTAAGAGTTCCTCCCGTTCCCCATCCCAAATAATATTTATAAATATACTAAAATTATTAACAAAACTTAACACAACAATTACTATAGAGAACTCACGAAATGACTAAAAGTCTAAATTTTAGTTAGGGTGAGGTTTGGGGTTAGGTTTAGAGTTAGATTTAGGGTTGGGGGAACGGAAGGAACTCTTTCCGTAAAAAAATTGAACTGTTGAACCAGTACATTCAGAAGTTGCTCACAGGTTTGAACACCCGTTCTCACAAATAAGGTGCAAACACATTCTAGAAAAAGTGAACAATTTACTTTTCAGTTGACTTGAATTGGTTTGGTTTTCTGGTAAAGGGCCATATGAAGTATGATTTCCCAAATTTTGCACCACTCCAATTAAATGTTGAAGATGCTGTGATGTTATGAATAAAAGGACCCATCTAGGTGAGTGAAAAAATCTCAGATACCTACATTACAGGTTTTCAATACCGCCTTCATCAAATATATTATGTTTGCTATGTGTGCTTAAACCCAACTGCTATGCTGAAGCTGTATATGTGTATTCATGGAAGAATTGGTTATATTGTCTTTAAAAAAATCCAATCAATCAATCTTGGTAGATCACTAAAGCGACTTAATATGCTTTTCCCTGACATTTCAATCAATTCACACAACAGAAGAGTGTTGTCTCTGATTAATATTAAAGACATATCGACAGATTAATGTTTTATTGCCAGAAACAAAATACAACATGTTGTTTTTGAACATGAAATATCTCAAATCTGTATTGTCAATTACAGTCGAGGAATATTGTGGTCTTTACAGACTGTACAAAAAGTAACGTAAGTATCAATTTTTAGCAATTATCAATTTTAAACAGTAACATGGCCTTTGAAAATGACATTTAAGAAGACACTCTGACTTAAGTGGTGGCACTACCCTTATCGGTCACTTTACCATACATTTATCAATGACTATCATTTTTCACTTGACTTTAAGTGTGAATACAAACAAAACTTGAATTTCATCCGGAACAGAAGTCATTTTGTCTGAAAATGTAAAAACAGTCTTATTTTTCCATAAATAAATCACTGTCCCTGACAAGAGTATAGTTCAGATAACAAAATATGAATTAAACTGGACATGCCCCATTGGATACGTTTTCAAACATAGTAACATAGGTATCACTTCCAAACTTCTTAACAGAAGGCATAATGCACAATCACCATACTTTAACACCGTGTGTTAACAAAATTCTACGGGGAAAATGGCACCTAAGGCGGTTCTGAAACGTTTAAACCAGTTCACACCACTGTATCAATAATAATAACCTCTACCAACACCCAGAGTAAGGTATGAATCGTTTACGAAAAGCTACAGCAGACGTCCTCCTGAAACATATCTTCTCGTAAGCTAATTTATGCTTTAACTGAAGCTTCAGCCCATACTCTTAACTCAGTTAAATTTGAAACCACATACAAAGCCAACATGTAAACGACAACACATCCTAAAGTCACAAGTCTGAAACAAAGAGTTTATAAATAGCAGCAGACGACATAGACCTTGTCAACACAGTGGTGACTGTGAATTTGTCAAATTATCAACTTCTGAATTTGTAGAAATCAAGCTTTCAACTATGTAACATCATTATCATTTGAAAGTTTACCATTTATCATGCTGAAGATCTGCATTTGAATGTTTAGCTAGATATACTGTTAGATATAGGCAAACATTCTTTAATATAACAGTTTTTTACATGTATATTTAGTTTGTTTGTTTGCAGGTTATATATTTGCACTAGATTAATTCAGTATCTGCTTTATAACGTCATATAACGGCGGCGTAATGCACCATATACACCTTAAAATAGACACTGTAACTGATGATACCTTCAATACTCCTACGTTACTACTTGTAATGTAGGTATCACATCTTGTAAAGAGACCTAGGCGAAAATTATGAACACTTCACAGCAGAGTCAATGTTGTTTTTTGCATTTACTAAGGCATAATGTAATAACAATCATATCAAATATTTACCTCGGAATTTCTGTTGAAATGCTGACAAGCTCTTTGTATCAAAGGGTATCAAAACATTCGAGTCTAATCAAGAACGTGGTGGAAACATGATGCTACGTCTTATTACAAGTACAATCTAAATAGCAATGGCGTCTTTTAAAGAAGCAAGAAAAGTTCTAAAGGAATGCTCTAAAGCCATTGTTCCCTATATCTTGGTAATGTATGTATCAGTAACATATGTATTTTTAACTGGAAAAATCGACCAAACAGTGAAAATGTGAAAATTAAAAGCACCGATATCTGTATGAAGCCAATGACTACTATTTTTTATAATGCTATATGATAATTAATTTCATGTTGAAGGTCTCCTGCAAATAAGCCCTAGTAACGTAGGTATCACTCATAATATACGGTTCTAACTGACTAGTTTCAAGAGTAGATGTATGAAGAGGTATGCCATAGTCCAAATTGTTTGTGTCACCATACATTTATTGAAGTTTTCAAATTTATTTTTTACAGTGGGTAGTCAGGATGTGAAACTTTATCTGCTTTGTATCTAAGGTTAAATGGTGCAGTAACGTAGGTATCCTCAGCATAGCGGACAAGTCTTTTGTCTGAGCTCATGTGGCAGTGCATGAATGGAAGTCACCATAACAGACATCGAAGCAAGGCTGGATCACTCACCAGTTGCTATAACCGTAACAATAATCAATACTTATTGTTCGCATTTTCTCTATTGCAACATATCTCTATCAACCCAAAGGGGCGGACAGGTAACTCAGGTATCGTTTTACGTGTTTGAGGTGTTGCTGTCAAATATGAAATGAATTCTGAGTGAATCCTGAAATGTCAGATGTTGCCTTCACTGTACCCTGCTAAAATATGGTAACTTATCTAATCAACTTTTTATTGTAGTATTTGATTTGATCAGGGCGGACATCAATTGCACCTCATTAGTGAGAACGATGCTACTTGATACATCAGTCGAAAGGAAATCATGAACTAGCATAAACTGTGGGTTTTAACATGTTTAAAGGCATAATCCCAATTCTGGTCAACGGCATGTGACAAATAATAATAGTTAAACAATTCTGAAAATGAGAACTTTTGACCCAGTACAGTCAGAAACTGCTCACAAATTTCAAATGCTATGTACTATCTTCAGTCTAAAGGAGATCTCGAAATTCTATAAACTGTGGGTTTAAAGGCTTTATCCCACTTCTGGGCAAGGGTATGTTACCAATAATACTAGTTACAAATCTCTGAAAATTAGAACTATTGACCAAGTACATTCAGAAGTCCGAAGGAAATTTTGAAATAGCATGTTTAATTTCCCCCACTTCTCGGCAAGGGTTAGCTACTAATATTATGTTACAAATCTCTGAAAATTAGAACTATTGACACATTACATTCAGAATTTGATCACTGGTTAGATATGTTATTTACTATCATTAGCCCAGAGAAAATCTTTAAATTTCATAATCTTTAGGCATTATTACACTTCCAATGAAGAGCAGTAATAATAATTAAAAATCTTTGAAAATTAGAACTATTGACCCAGTGCAATCAGAATTTGTTCATTAGTTTGACATGCTATTTACTATCATAATTTGCTTATATAATACATAAATATAAATAAAAGTAATAATAGTTTGAAGTTTGAAATGTTATTTAGTATCATCAGCCCAGAGGAAATCTTGAAATTCCAGTAAAACGTTCATAAGATATACAATGAATAAAAAGAAATTCTGCCTAAGGTATGACTATTGTTTCATGAATCTCCTTAAGTGGTAACTTTTAAATACAATGAACTTATTGTATCTGTAAAACTTTAAAAGTCATTTTGTCACTCATTTCTCCACTTCATTTACACAAAGTTGGAAATTAACATAAGCCTTATTGTCCCCCTCTGTATCAAAGTCACAACACTTGAGATGGACTCCATATCTGAACTTACATTGTTGAGATGCTCACTGTACCATGTTTGTTAACCAACTATACCAAAACATTCACAAGAAAATGCCCACCAACAAACTTAAAAACCATGGAAAGTATTTTGAATAAATAGGAATGTCAGCTGCAGGTGTGAGTGAGTGATTGAATGACTGTGTGGGAAAAGAGAGTGAGTGGAGCAGAGTTGAATGAGTAGAGTGGGTGATGCAAGAGGAGCTGACTGGAGGGAGAGCGGAGTGGAGTGGGTGGTGTGAGTGGAGCAGAGAGGAGGCAAGGCCGTGGGAGCCGGAGTGGGTGGTGTGAGTGGAGCAGAGAGGAGCGGGCGAGGGAGTAGAGTGGGTGGTGTGTGGAGTGGAGAGAGGGAAGCGCCGAGGAGCAAAGTGGATTGTGTGGAGGGGAGTGGTTTGGAGTTAAATGGAACGGCGTGAGGTGGGTGGAGTAGATCAGAGGGAGCGGAGTTGGTGGAGTGAGTAGAGCAGAGCGACTGGAGTGAAGTGGAATGGTGCTGAGTGGAGTTGAGTGGAGTGGGTGGTGCAAGAGGAGTGGAGATGACTTGAGAGGAATG